CCACGCTGTACGGTTTACATTTATTGTCCACTTGATGGCACAATAGAGCAAATGAAGCACCATGAAGCATCAACACACGAGTAAACCAATTGGATAGAACGCTTCAATGCTTTTTGAATCTTCATTTTGCCATAACTGCTATTTGGAAAATGCCATATTTTTAGCAACTATGTGGTTTGTCGAAATTGTTGTTTTTCATGAGTTCTGGTGCTAGCTAAATGTTGCTGTGTCACATCCCAAGGTCATCCCTATTGAAACGGTTTTGTTATGTTATTGGACTCAATACCGCCTGTTCACTCTTCCTGTTTACTCTGCATTAAGTTTGTTTTATGCTGTTTAGTGTGATAGATTCGGTTCTTTAGTTGGAATTTGATAGATTCGGTTCTTTAGTTGGAAGCCTGAGAATAAACCAGAGTAGATCAAGAGTACAAATATGACATTTATTGGTCACAAGCAAAGTAAATCAGCGCTGGGCTCTCACAGGCAAAGTTCCCGGAGGATCTCAGTTGGCAAAAGCCTCGATTCCCGGATGCAATGGGTAGTTATCCTCTGGGCCGGGCCTCGAAGGGGGAAGACGGTTGGGCGTAGCCGAGCATCATTGGCCAGTTAGTTTGGTCATGATCAGGCCAGAGGCTCTTTGTTCATGCAGGTTTCGTGGGAATGTGATAAGAAAATGTGTGTGTGTATGTTGACCTTGAAGACGTGTATCTATTGTAACAGAGAGATGGGGATGAGGAGGCACAGCCAGAGAGTTTAACCCAAAAGTAGAAATATAAATGGAATAATATGAATCTAAAAGGAATAATACAATCAGTCATTTACATGAATTAAGTTATAGCATGTTATGCTAAAGTAAGTAATTATAGCCCAATTCTAACAAGTGTCCAACTCGGTATTTGATGCCTGATGTTGTCCAAATGTGAATGTTTTTACAAACTAATGTCCTGTTGTAGTGAGCTGCACAGTGGCGGACCGTGCATTTCACACCTAGGGCTTCAGTGGTGCTCCGTCTGAATCAATTATCCATGCGCTTCAGTTCCATCAAGAAGTCCTTTTCTATTTCTATTCCAGTGAAGCTGACGCTGAAAGTCGAGCCTGCCCCGTCGTATTTCTGGCATAAGTTTTAATTCGCTTAAGGGCTGAAAATGTCCGCTCGACAGAAGCAGTAGATATGGGCATTTTACAGTGACCTAAAATATTACTTTGTATGGCAAACAGAATTAAATCATTAAATAAAACATTATAGAAATGAAAATGTCCATGCTTACATTAAATGTTTTTCACTGTCCACTTTATGCAGTGAATGAAGCCCATTCTGTAATGACCAGATCAAAAACCAGAGCCAGGTTAGCCTTAAAAAGCTGATTTCACCACTGGAGCTAGACGGAGGCAGGACTCAGCAGGGATCAGGAGACTCTGTTGAAGAACTGCTCCACACTGATCCACACTGATCCAGAATCAGTTCAGAGACTGAAGAATAGTGATGGTCCATTTGAAGCTGGGGCTCTATGGTTACTGACATGTGGAGGTAGAGACCTCACAGCACAAGCACAGCTTCCACCATTGGGTTGGACATTATTACATGGAATGGTTTTTATCTGTTTACAAACATCAGACACATTCTGTACAGAGGGAGACCACACCATGGAACATGCTCCACCAAGGAGAATTCATTCAATTATTAATAAAAGATAGTTAAATAAAAGAATAATGAATACATGTTCAAAGCATCACAACAACATATCAGACACAGCTGTCTCAGGATATTAACCATGATAGTTTTTGTCCTCCTGCTGTTTGGGATGAGGATAAAGAATGTGTATTACGATTATAACAAAATTATATTTATGTATATAGCACATTAAGAGACAAATATATATAGAAAAAATATCATTCTAATTTCATAATTTCCAGAAATCTGTTTGCTATGTGCTGTATTTATCTGACCCAGCGCCACATCAAAAACCTGGTTGGACATTAAGCACCATCATACAAACTTAATGCAGAGTAAACAGGAAGACTGAACAGGCGGTATTGAGTCCAATAACATAACAAAACCGTTTCAATAGGGATGACCTTGGGATGTGACACAGAAAAATTTAGCTAGCACCAGAAAGACATGAAAACATCAATGTTGACAAACCACATAGTGGCACTGGCCAAATAGTAAAAAATAGTGATAAGTAATAACACAATAGTCCAGCCTAATAATAGCAGAGCTGGTGTGTAAGCTTGTGTGAATGATTCAGGATTCAGTGATACCTGCACCTTCTTGTTTTTAAGGCCTGACCCTGAAGAAATAATGGATATGGTGTACTTCGATTAGTTTACAATGACTGTCACAGAACTCAAACGGAAGCTAGATATCACATAGTGTCATTATATTCCTTACAAAAGCTGTGATTTCCCCTAAGATGACTACTATGAAATAGTCCTCATATGATGATGTTTATTTCAGACATACCTGGAAACAGGACAGCTTGGGGTTTCTGTAGTTTGTTACTGTGGGACAGAGTGGGCTAATGTTTCCATTCACTTCAATTCATTATGCTAAGCTAACACAATTGTAACAGCTTTGTGTTGATATGTGGAAAGGAGGTGTGTCCCAAACTTTTAATTTATTTCACAGAGGATTATTAATACTAGGGGCTAAAAATAGTTTAAGGCTTAGTGTTTTCATGGTTGACTAATCAATATTTGGTTTTTGGAAAAAAGATAAGGACTGTGAACATATATGTGCTTCTATTGATTCTGAAATATTGCTAATGATGTTTTGCATAAACTCGGAACAATTTATGACTCACTTCAGTCATTCAGAAGGTACTTTAGAAAATATACATACTTTTGATCAAAGTAGTACTTTGAGCTGCTATTTTCCAGTGAAAAATGACTCTAAGCACTGAATCCACAATCAGTTAAATGTCTCTGGATAGAGAAGCAGGTGTGCTGACTTTTTTTTGTGATTCACTGTTTTTTATTTAAAAACAAATTCCCAAGCTGGGAAACAGGAACATTACAGAGTCAGTGATCAATACCCACCCACCCCACCCCAACCTTAGATACAAATCACATGACCCATTAGGTCAAAAATGGGAAAAAAATTAAATAAAAATACAAAAAAATACACAAAAAAAAAAGGTACAAAGCATGCAAGACATCTCATTGTGCGTGGATCGCCAGCAAGTCTGTGACTCCCTCTGCAGTTCTTTCCCACATATGTATAGTTGACAATCTCGCCCCATGGATTCTTGCAGTAGACAGTTCCATCATAATAACATCATGAAAGTATAACAGCCATTTTTTAATAGGAAGCCTGTGTGGGGGGAGCCATCTCTGAACAATAATTTTTTTTTGCTGCTGTTAGGCCTGCGAGCAACACTTTTCGCTGTTTCTCTGTACATTCAACCTGTGAGTCGTCATTCAGTAACAGTAAACTTGGTTTTAATGGTATCTCTAATTCTAATAATTCAGATAAATAAAAAGTCACCTTTTCCCAAAAGGACCTAACCTCTTCACAGTCCCAAACCATGTGTTTATAGGTACCTGGAATATCTTTATCGCATATACTACAGCATAGACTGTTTGTGTGCTTCGCATGGAATCTATCGATGGGCGTCCAGTATGCCCTGTGACAAAACTTGAAATGGATCAACTGGTGATTGGGGTTCTTTGATGCACTGAAAATGTTATCCCATACCCCTTTCCATTCTATAGAATCTGTCCCTAAATCGCTTTCCCACTTAGCTACTATAGGAATGGTAGAGTAGGATGATTTCAAGAGCCATCGATATATAAAGGTGACAAATCCTCTGTGTGGAGAAATCAGCAATTTATAGATAACAGGGTGGATTTGCACATTTGAGTCCTATGGTACCCCATAAGCACGTAGTGCTGACCGCAACTGAAGATAGAAAAAAATGATGATTTAGGAAAATCAAACAATTGACAAAGGTTTTGAAAACTCATCAGTCCATCCCTGTTGTATATATCACCCAGCATATGAATACCACAAAAAGCCCATGACTGAGATTAAAAGGGCTTCTTTCCAGAAGTCAGACCATAATTATTCCAGAGAGGAGTGTGCGTTGTAACAGTTAATATACTGCTTAGTTCCTCGTTATGAATAGGTATCACCACAAGGGGGCGCCTATTCCCTTTTTCTTTGGTTATAAGAGTGACAGAGTAAGAACTAGTCTTCCTCGTGTACGTAGAGAAGATTATGTGTGACAATAAAGAATAGGTGTGGAAACTTTTAACAGTGCGTCCTGCTGTTTTGAGTTAGAGTGGCCAACCCCATTACTAACTCTTCCAGCCTCCCACCGCATCGTCACAATTGGCGCCCGAACGTATTTTGGACCTTTTTCCCTCCAGGATATCGATTCAGCTTTGGACTAAAGGTGATTGCTAGCGAGTTCCTTGTGGATGTCTGTTTCACGGGGTGGGTACAGTTTCTGAGCGGAATACATCGTGATCAGTGTTAAAGTTTGCTGGAAGCGTTCATCGCCCGCATATCGCTGGACGTCGTGATGAGCTGTCCCGGTCGGATTTAATTCCTGAGAGCTCTACACCTGCTAGCCTGCTGAAGAGGTTAGGTTTAAACGACAAGATCAACGCATGTTAACTAAATTAACTCACAATTACTAAGGACTGGGTGAATTTTGTGGATTATTCAGTGGAGTTCAGTCATACGGACTATTTTGTGGATTTTGACTCGATGACCAGCGGATGGATACGGACGGACCGTGTTGCACAACAGTGGCAGCGAGAGCAAGACATCCTCGTGGGCTCGTTTGTTTCTCTGTTTAGGAAGATATCGTATTTTATATTTGGAAATTTTCTAGCATCTGAGCCCTACTGCCAGTGCTGACATAGAAATAAAAATAAAACGGACTGAACTTTAAAGAACACAAACAATTTTGTTCAAGGTCCCGAGTGTTTTTGGTGTGAATATTGCATCATTTTTTTTTGGACTCTACTATAAAGGTTAAAGAAACAAAAACATGGCATTGGAACCAGATTTTTCTGTTTTTGACTCGAACATGGATATTGACTCTCTTCAATTTATACCTCCGCAGCAGAGAGCTCCAGACCTCTGTCAGCAGGTACAAGAATTAAAAGATGATGTCAAGCAGCTGAGGAATGTCTTTCAAAACACGTTGTCCCTGCAACAGAAAATGCTGAATCATCTGGATAAGGTTCATTCCTGTGAGTCTGATGGACCTTCTGCACAACAGTCTCCAGCAGCTCCTGTGGCCACCTCAACACCGTATGTACCTCTTGTGAATATCGGTGCGGGGCATTCCAATGACGCGTGCCCTTATCCTGAAACTCAGAGGGATCTGCATAGCTCTTTCCTACAGACTCATTCAGCTGAGCTAACCAACACCTCAAGAGTGATTGCTGCTGCACTACATCACGCCAAGCTTGAACCACCAGTATTCGCCGGGGATGGTGAAGTGCAGGCAGTGGACTGGTTACAGGCTGTGTCAGCATACAAGTCCACTCTGAATTTAACTGACGCCCAGATTCTGAATGAGTTGCCCCGTTTTCTCACGAAAAAGCCTAGTAAGTGGTTTAAAGCACTTCGTTCACACATTAGCTCATGGGTGCACTTCTGCCAACTTTTCCAAACAGTCTTTCTGCCCACTGACAACCAAGAAAGAATTCTCAGAGGCATACTTGACCGTGTCCAGTCAGATGATGAACCACTACCGACTTTTGTAGCTCACATGTTGAGTGAGTTTAATAAGCTATGTAGCCCACCACCTGAGAAAGAGCGTATTCAATTAATATGTAAACATTCACTTGAAAAATACAGGGTGGCTCTGTATGGCTCGCCTGTATCTTCTGTGATGGAGTTGCTGCTCAGGGCTCATGAATTGCATGCTGTACTAGGACCTGATAGCCACCAGAATCTTCAAAAAAGACATTGGAAGCAACAGAGAGCTGAGCCACGCTGTTATAAGTGCTCAAGCCCTGGATATACATCGAAAACATGTCCTGCCTGTAATCAGGACCATAGTCAACAGCACATGTCGGCTCGGTTCCATAATGAAATCACTCCCAATACGTCCTTTGACACACCTGGAGCTGAAACAAACAATGGAAACTCCAGCCCACCCGTAGATGCAGCACCCCAAAGGCCGTTGGGAAACTTCAAGGGGGGGAGGATATTTCGTCGAGGCAATCCTCCCTCCAGACGTTAACTGAGCCTCAACTTTCTGCAAATACGCTCCACATCCTTGGTCATGTGGAGGACAATGAGTCTAATGCTGTCTGGAACACTCCATTTAAGACTAAGCTGAACTTTAATGGAACCTGCACCGAGGCGACTCTGGACACAGGCGCTTCACTTTCAGCTGTACGTGCAGATCTCATTAATCTCAATGGGGTTTGTCCGCAGAAAGTACGTCAGTGGCAGGGGCCGCCAGTGAGCCTAGCGGACAACGCCCCTTGCCTCCCAGAGGGTGTGGCTTGGCTGAGTATCGGCTTTATGAACAAGCGTTTTTATCACCGCTTTGCCGTCATCCATAACCTGTCTTCCCCTTTCATATTAGGGATGGATTTTATGATGAGAGCCTCAATAACTATGCACATACCGACAAGGACAGTTTTTATTGATGATAGTCCCTGCCCTGCCCTGGATGAAAATGAGGAACACAACCTTGAACTGTTTCCTGTTGAACAGACTGTTATGTCTCTGAACATTTTGTCAGACACCATGGAGTCAAAAGTGGCTGAGGCGAGCCTAGAGGAAATGCAAAAATCAGATCTATATGATCTTCTTTCCCGCCACAGTTCCACTTTTGATGGACACCTTGGACACACTTCAATGGCAGAACATGTGATAAATACCGGAACCGACAAGCCCATAAATCTTCCTCCCTATCGCTCATCTCCAACCAAAAAGCGGCTGATTGAGGATCAAGTGCGACAAATGCTGGAAGACAACATAATCGAACCCTCTACCAGTCCATGGGCTGCTCCAGTGGTCATTGTGAATAGACCTGGTTCTGATCCAAGATTCTGTGTGGACTATAGGGGTTTAAACCAAATCACACAAAAGGACTCTTATCCATTACCACGAATTGACGAATCCCTTGACTTTCTGGCTATTTCAACCCTGGATTTGGCTCAAGGATATTGGCAAGTTGCTGTTTTGGAGGAGTCCCGACCAAAAACGGCTTTTGTGTCTCACTGCGGCCTCTACCAGTTCCGTGTGCTGCAGTTCGGCTTATGCAATGCGCCAGCGACATTTCAAAGGCTCATGAACTCTGTGTTAGCAGGCCTGATCTACAAAACATGTGCGGTGTACCTTGATGACATCGTGGTGGCATCTCCCTCATTCGAGCAGCACTTGAAAGAGTTGGAGGAGGTCCTGAACAGACTGGAAGCAGCTGGCCTCACTTTAAAACTGAAAAAGTGTCAGTTCTGTCTGAGTGAGTTCACATTTTTGGGTTATCGCATCACACCTGCAGGCATAAAACCTGACCATGATAAAATCAAAGCTGTCATTGATTTCCAGCCACCATCCACGGTGAAACAGGTCAGACAGTTCCTGGGACTGACTGGTTATTATCGGCGCTTTGTCAAGGATTATGCCCGGCATGCTGACCCACTCCATAAGCTCACACAGAAAGACACTGTTTTTCACTGGGATGACAAATGTCAGCAAGCCATGAATGTTTTGATAGACCGAATCACATCAGCCCCTGTGTTAAGGTTCCCAGACTTTGCTAGGCCCTTCTATGTTCATGTTGATGCCTGTGATCTAGGACTGGGCGCTGCTTTGATGCAAAAAGATGAAGAAGGCCGAGATATTGTGGTCTCGTATGCGAGTCGTTCTCTGCACAAGGCTGAAAAACCATACTCAACCCCTGAAAAAGAATGTTCGGCCGTCATTTGGGCTCTGGAACACTTCAGGCCATATGTTGAGGGCCTTCACGTGACTGTTTTCACAGACCACAACAGCCTTAGGTGGCTTATGTCTCGCCCAAACCCCTCTGGCCGGCTGGCTAGATGGTCTTTGAGGCTGCAAGACTTTGACTTTTCAATTGCCCACAAGCCAGGACAACACAATGCAGTTCCTGATGCTCTTTCCAGGAATCCCCTGCCAAAGTGACATGCCCACTGATATCCTGCCAGAACATGCTGTTATAGGCAGTTTGGACCTCCGTTCCTTGCCCCCAGTGTTATTGTCGGATCGTTCGCACATGAGGCAGCTGCAAATGGACGACCCTGTGACGGGTCCACTCCTCAGAGACATCGAATCAGACTCATCGGTTCAAATAGACAGTGAATGCCAAGAACAATATACTGTCTATGACAGTTTGCTGTATTGCAGGGACCGAAAGCCTGTATGCAGTTTACATCCATTAAAAGAACTTAAACTTTTTGCCCCAACATCTCTTCGTGGCACCATGCTGCGCTATTACCATGACCACCCCACTGCTGGCCATCTCGGTGTTTCCAAAACACTTATGAGACTACGACACAGGTTCTTTTGGCCTGGCATGGCAGGTGATGTCAAACGTTATGTCACTTCTTGCTCGGTCTGCCAACTCACAAAACCAAGTCAACAAAAGCAAGCTGGTCTCATGGTCCCTATTGTGCCCAAGAAACCCTGGGAATACACAGGTGTGCAATATCCAGAGACTCTGAGAGCCACCCTCAGGGATGCTCATCACCACGCCAGGGCTGCGCTAGATCTCAGCCACAAAAGACAGAAACACTACTACGACTTGAGACGCCGCCATTCTGCTTTTGGGATTGGTGATCTTGTTCGAGTGAAGTCTCACCCAAGATCGGATGCTTTGGCTAATTTTACAGCTAAACTGGCACCGCTGTTCAAAGGCCCTTTCCGTGTCAGTCAGAAACTCAGCGATGTGAACTACAGACTGATTGATGTTGAAACTGGAGCCGATGCGTGAGTTTTCCATGTTGTGAACATGCAACCATTCCATACTTGGGACTCTGCCAGCTGCAAAAAGACTGCCAGTGCAGCTGCTCAGGTGGATCACATGGACGATGACCTTGAGGACGGTTCCCCTCAGACTGACACATCCTTGACCTCCCTCCAGGTGATGTGTTTTGTGATGTGCCGAATGATATTCGCTACTCACAGGAGCCTCAAGGGGTCGGTGAGACCCACGCTGATGAGACTGAGTCTGGCCAAGATTCAGGTTGTGATGGACATTACAATCTGAGAGCCCGACGT